CAGCCTTGCTGGCAAGTTGCACGAGACATGCTCGGTGCTTTGCAGAAAACCAAGACACAAGGCTGGGCTTTTGCTCCTCTCTCCAAAGAGACAGCTCCAGCCCCATCTGGGCCTCTGCTAGAGCTGCCCCCACTTGCAGCCTAGTTCTCTGCATCTGCACCTTCACTGCTGCAGGAAAAGGTCTCATCCTCTACCTCAGCCCTTTGGGACAGAGCAGCCTCCACCCCCCACCTTTCTCTGGTTGCTGTCAGGGAGGAGGATGATTTAGCCTCACTCAAGTGAGGGGATGAGTCCTCAGCATCTCCAGCCCCACAGGGTGGCTGAGGACTTACCTGGTTGCCCTCTGACTCGCTGCTCTCCAGCCCAGAGGCTCTGTCCTCCACCGATGGTGTGGGCCTGAGATGTGCTTTGGTGGGGTGCCCGTTGCGAGAGCTGGGGCTGCAGCCCAGCTCAGGGCGGCTGTAGCGGCGCTGAGATGTCACTGTACTCATCTCCAGTGGGGCTGTCCTGTCACCAGAGCCAAGCTGGGGCAGAGAGGGGGAGTCTGTCTCTGAGGGGGGCTGTGGGGACTGGTACAGGTCTGCTGGGGAGGCCGAGTCCTGCAGGGATTTCTGACTGAAGGTGACGGCTGCCCCGCTGGAGCTGAAGGTCAGTGTGGTGTTGCTGTGGGGAGAGGAGCTGCTGTGCTCTGACTCATTGGAAGAGTGGCTGCCCACAGAGACGTCTGACTGGCTGCGGCGCGGGTTGTAGGGCTTCAGAAAGGAGCTGTACACAAAGCCCTTGGTCACTGCAGAGAGAGAGAGGAAGGGAGCTCAGAGTGGGAGACCAGAGGAGCGGAGTCACAGCAGGTGCTGTGGGCTGGGAGCAGCCACTTACCCCCATTGTCTATGAGCCAGCGATTCTGGCTGCCCATGGGGTCCTTCTTCTTGATGACACCCACAATGTCTCCTTCCAGCAGCGCGACATCCAGGTCTTGGGCAGCATTGAAATTGCGGTCTGCCTGGAAGAGACTGTCCGGGGGATAGCGGGCCAGGAGGGCAGCTCGGATGTCATCTGACTGCAGGAGGTAGCTGGGCTGCAGAGGAACAAGGCATCAGCGGTTGTCCTGGGCTCTGCAAGCCCTGACACAGGGCAGAGGGAACTCACCAAGCCAACAAGGGGCTGCCGCCGGGCAGACTGCCGCTCCATGCTCTTCCTTTCAAAAGGCTTCTTGGGAGCTGCCTGGGACTCTGGGAAGAAGGTGAAGGCCTGGAGCTGCTGGAGGACTCGACTGTGCTCATCCTGGAAGATGGCAATGAGGTTCCCCTCCCTGCCAGACACCTTCAGCAACTGGAAGCAGAGCAGGGTTGGGGGTTATGGTTAGGTGACAGCTTCCTTGAAAAGTGGCCAAGAGCTACAGCAGAGACCATGCCAGCTTCTGGACCAAGCGGGGTTCTGAGCCCTGCCTGTGACTTGAATCAGGCCCAGATTTGCATTCTTGTCTGGACACAGCTCTGAGTGGTCCCCAAACTCATGACCTGAGATTCTCTCAGAAAAATGCTCTACTGCTGCAGGAGCTCCAGGAGCAGCCACAGCCTTCACTATCTCTACACACAATTGCATCATGACCTCGCAATACCTGCCCTGACAGCATCCCACAGGAGCCCTCCCCAAGGCACTTGGGACCTGAAAATGCAGCAGCAGCTTCCCCTACAATGGGACAGGTCCCGGAGAGGCTTGGGGACAAGCCCTGCACAGAGATTAGTGCTGCACTGCACCCAGAGTGCCAACTGCGCTCCAGGAACTCACCGACAACAGGGGTCTCAGCTCCTCCAGGGCCAGGCGCACGAAGTCACAGTGCGCCTCAGCATAGCCCCGCACGCAGCTGGCAAAGAGCTCCTTGGCAAAGCGCAGGAACTTGGGCAGCTCGTCCAGCAGCTGGGCATTCAGGGCCTCGTAGTTGTTACGGGCTGACTGCAGCTCCTCGAGCGTTCGCTTGTCCTTCAGTTTCTCTGCTCGCTCCGTGCAGTTGTGGAAGTCGAGGAGCTTGTCGAAGCGCTTCTGCACCAGCTTGTGGGGCCCCGCAAACATGCTCAGCAGCTGGTTCAGGGGCGAGCTCACCAGCCGCTCCGTCCGCTCTTTCTGGTGGGTAGAGATGCAGAGAGTAGGTAAGACGAGTTGCTCTCTCCCACTGTGGGGGGAACACCAGCAGCTCACCCTCCAGCACACAATCTCCCCAGGACAGCATAGGCTCCATCTTCCTGATGGCACCAGATCTCCAGAGGTCCCTTCCAACAGGAATCATTCTATAATCTTACATAAATGTGCCAGTGTGGGCAACCCTATGGGAAGTACCTGAACCACTCACATAGAGAGCTGTAACGTTTCAGGTAGGGCTGAAAAAATGTGCACCTAACAGGCATGCTCAACACACATCATAAACCCACAGGCATCAAAGCTCTCAGGGGGGAAGAGCTGAACAGGAGTGCTCACACCTCTCCCAGGCTGTGTTACCCTCCCTGCAGCCTCCCAGGGGCTGCCCATCTGCAGCCGGCCCCCAGAGAGGGCCCGAGCGGGTTGCCCCAGCACACGAGAGCGCAGCTTCACTCACAAAGTTGGAGAAGAGCTGGTCGCTGATGAGCCGATTCACTTTCTGGAACTGGTCCAAGTCCCCACTGCCCTTCTCCGTGCACAGGTCCCACATGCTCACTGCTGCCACTGCCTTCATGCAGGCCGACTCCTGCACCAGGGACACACAGTCAGCACACCCATGCTTGCTCGCCAGGAGAAGATGCCTCCCAGGGCATCCCAGACTCCCAGAGACCAACCCCTGGCAGGGCTGAGGGCAGGAGCACTGGCCAGAGGCGCTGCAGGTACACACGGTGCAGGCAGGAGGGGCAGTGCACGGCCAGCCCCATGGGTTAGGCATGACACCCAGACTAACTCACCCGGACGTGCTGCAGGTAGAGGGAAAGGTCCCGGATGAAGGACTTAATCACCAGGGCATCCCAGACTCCCAGAGACCAACCCCTGGCAGGGCTGAGGGCAGGAGCACTGGCCAGAGGCGCTGCAGGTACACACGGTGCAGGCAGGAGGGGCAGTGCACGGCCAGCCCCATGGGTTAGGCATGACACCCAGACTAACTCACCCGGACGTGCTGCAGGTAGAGGGAAAGGTCCCGGATGAAGGACTTAATCAGCCGCTCTTGCATGCGGAAATTTTTCTCTGTCTCCTCAAAGGCTTCATCCTTCAGCTGTGAGAGAAAATGTCTCAAGGGAGGCAATGCAGAACTCAGCACCTCCCAGAGTACAAGACGTGAGGCCTCCTGCCCAAAAGCTGGACAGCAGAGACAGGTGGTTCAGACTCTAAGCACTCTCTGCTTTGCTGGCCTGGATCAGAGCTACTCATCAAGGAAGGAGCGTGGTGGGACAGCAGATACCACCATCTCCTCAAGCACCACAGGGTGTAAGTGCACGTGGCAGGTGGTGCATGTTACCTGGGGCGCAAAGCCTGTGAGATGCTTGAGGTGACTGCTCACACGGTTGGATTTCTTGATGATAGAGTGGAAGTTGAGCTTGGAGATCTTCTCCATGAGGCTGTCCTCATCCCCTTTCCGGTACTTTAGCACTAAAGAGATCAATGTAGAAATCAGAACCCTTGTCAACATAATGCCCATGTCTTACAGTGCCTTATCAACAACTGCCTTGCTGGCTCTCTGTGTGCCTAAGTCTCTGCAGTCTCAAGTGGCCCTCCTATGCCATCCCATCCCATCCCATCCCATCCCATCTCATCCCATCCCGCCCCCCATTCAAACTCTTCCATAGGATTATGCATGGTATTAGCATAAGATGACATAGGAGATGGTGTATAATAATCACTGGACATATAGAAGATATTTATGTTGCTGCTTTAGCAAATATCAACAATCATTACAGGCAGCCTATGCCGTCTAAGCTTCAGCAGGGCTATGTGGAAAGAGTAAATTGTAAGACTTGCATGAGTCAGGGGCTTCCAAGGGAAAAGAGGGAGGGTGGCTGGTAAGTGAAAGGGGGTAGTTTTCTCCCTCTGTTCAATCCCAGAGGCTGCACTTGGATACTGTGCCCAGTTTTCGTGGAGGAACATGAGAGAACCAGAGCTACTGACCCATAGAAAGAGCTCAGGTCCCACAACGAGAGCTGGAGGAGCTGGGTGGGCTCAGCCTGGCTGGGAGGAAGCAGAGGGGATTCTGCTCACACCCGGCAGCTACGTGAAGGGCGGCTACAAAGATGATGGAGCCAAAATTCTCTGAGCAGTGCGCCAGGTGATACAACCAGGGGCAGCAGCCACAGATGGAAGCTTGGGAGCTTCAGGGCAATCGGGGAGCACAGCTTCATGTTAAAGGTGGTGCAGCCCTGGCACAGGACAGCAGAGAGGCTGTGAAATCTCCATCCTTGGGGGTCAGTGGGAATCAGCTGGAGGGAGCGATGGCTGATCAGAGCCAAGGTTGAGGACAATCCTGCTCCAAGCAGGAGGTTGGACAGGAGATCTCAGAGGGCTCTGGCAGCCAGCAGCTCTGAGATTCTGTCCTGTCTACAGATACAGCTTCAAACTTAGTCTCCAAATCTCAGTAAGACAAAGCCTGCCCTAGCAGATTAATTCCCTACTTGTGTTGTTTAAAATTACTTTTTTAATCTTTAAATATATATTCTTTTATCTTAGCATTATTTTTGTTTTCATTTAATAGCCACGTGGTCAGCACAGCATATATTTCATGTCTCTGTATCACAAGAAACAGCTGATGTCAGGTGTGTACTGCATTACTCTGTATTGCATCTCATGCTCAGATTTTTAGATGCAGCTCTTCTACTGCCCTGCTCTGAGGGCAGAGTCTACTGGGGGCAGATTCCCTCCACGAGTGTGGTTGCCAGCTAATGCTCAGGAGCTGGCAGATGCCAGCCTCAACACATCCACTCCAGTCCCTCACTCCCCAGCACTACCCAGCTACTCACCCAGGTCCTTCCGGCGCTTGTATTCATTGATGTTGACGTTGATTTCTTTGACTGCGAGGACAGCAGCTGTGAGTGGTGCCTTGTCGGGGTGAGCCTCAGGGGTGGCGCTCAGCAGCTCCATCAGCAGCAGTGGGTACCGCATCACCCTTTGCACTGGCTTGATGAGGAAGGAGCCCAGGTTAATGTAGTTTGTGCAGCCCCTGGGAAGTTGGGACAAAGGAGAAACACCAGATTTCAGTCCAGCTCAGCTAAACAAATTCTGCTCACTCTAACCAACCCCAACCAGACCAAGAACACCAACAGCTCAAGATCTACCATGTTCCCTAGGTCACACCACCCTCATCTCCAAACTCACTGCACTCCTGAACCCCTGGCGATCTCAAATCAACCCGAGATTTTCAGACTTCAAACACACCAGATGACTCTTCCCAGCCAGGATCCTCTCCATCACCAGACCCACCATGAAATCTCACACAGGCACAGCCTCAGACCAGAGCAGCTTCAGACTCTGTCCCACCACCCAAATGCTCAGATCAGTCCCCCAGTGCAGTACAGACCGACTATGCTCAGGACCGCAGCCTGCACAGGGTTCTCCTGGCTCCTTGGGGCTGACGGCTCCCAAAACCTGTTTCCTGCCCAAGACCTCCCCTCACCTCATCACCTGTGCTACCTGCCTGTGTAGCCCACTCCTTGCCTCTGCTGCAGTCATGCCACAGACACCCCACTCCTCCCAGATGCACCTCCACAAGCCACCGTTAGGGCCCCTCGACATGCACCCAGCCAGCGCCAGGAGGTTAGTTACAAGGGAGCAGCCAGGCCAAGACAGACAGACGTGCGGGGACTAACAGGAAGGATGCACTTACCACTCACTGTATAGGCTCCTGCCGGCCCACAGATGCCAAAAAGCAAAGAAAAGCAACTGGTTAATGGGGCGGCAGGCGTGCAATCCCGCAGCCAGTGCCTTCGCCCCATCCCGCAGTGATGCTGCCGAGGCCGTGGGCAGCCCTGTCCCCCCAGAGCAGCAGCCAGTGCTGCTGGCTCCCAGGGAATCAACCTCCACAAGCTGGAGCCCTGGCAGTTGCTGAGCCAGGCAAAGCGGCTCCTTTCCTCACTGGCCATGGTAGGGCAGGGCTTGAGGAACGGCAGCCCTCAATCCAGGACATGCCACCTTCTCTGTATCTTGGTGGCTTCTGCCCAGAGTTTAAGGGGGGCCTACAGGTGTCCCAACACCTGTGTATTGGGTCAGGGGGCCATTTGAACCCAGAGCCTGGTCAGCTATGCAGTGACACAGCCAGCCCCTCTCCAGTCACCATGTGAACTGTCCAAACACTGCTGGCAGAGTGGCAAGGATGCTGGAGACTGACCCTCCTACCCCAGCCTGGTGGCTGCCACAGCCAGAGGCTCCAACCTGAGGCTATCCAGCAGGTCCAGCAGTAGTTTCTGCATCTTCTCATCCTTCTCATAGGTTTCCAGCAGTGCGATGGCCTCGTCATGGTTCTGGCAATACACCCTGTAGACGCTCTCCAGCTCTGCACGCTGTGCCAGGAACACTGGCCCTGCAGACAGCAGCAAAGTAGGACTTCAGTGTCTCCTGGTCCCCAGCTGCCTCCTACAACGCTGGCGTATCTCATGGTGAGGTGCTCAGTGTCCCCCTTCCACATACACAGCTCAAGAAGACAGTGTTACTAGAGCAACCAGGATGCCCCCTTCATCACTCACTACTACAGTCAATCCAGCTCTCCCAGGGATAAGGAGTTGGGACAGTGGTCACTAGAGCCACGCAGAGAGCAAAGGCCCAGGCTGCCCAGGGCCTGAGCAGCAAAAGCTGAGAGCACAGGAGTGAGGAGGGGGCTCCCTTGGGGGTAAGGGGCCACAGGCACTGTATTTCTCAGTATAGCGACCTATGGGGCAAGACAGATCTCCTCGGCTTTGCTGCTGGACTGTTGAACAGTAACACGGACCAGAGGGGAGGAAGCCAAACCCCAGTGACACTCTCCTGCCATTTAAGCTACTCTGTTCTGCCCCACTACTAGCAAAGCCCATCCCAGCCTGCTGAGAAAACATAACAGCAGAATTCATACCGATGGCATCAGAAGCTTCCAAGGTGGACAGCAGCTGCTTGGAGAAGCTAATTACCATGTGGATGTTTCCAAAAAGACCCTCAAAGTCTATGTTCTGCATCTGGAGAATGGAAAGAGAGATGTCTTGGATGGGGTGACCTGTCCCAGTCAAATCCAACAGCCCTCCCTTGCCCTCCTGCAACCCATCAGTCCTCAGCTTCACAGCAGCCACCTGGTGTGACCTCCTTGCACCACAGTGACTTCTGTACTCACTCCCCCATCCCCCAGTGCACTGAAACTCTCACTACTTATGCATCCTACCAGTGTCCTCCTCTTTCCCAGCAATTTAATCCCTGCCTCTGTTCACCCATTATTCTCTCTCTCTTCCCACCAACTTTGTCCCCATGCCAAGACCCTATATTTTTTTCCTCCTGACAATGAATTTAACCTACCAACCAAATCAAGAGGAACACTTCCTTCCCCAGGAAATTAATCTGTGATACCTGCTGCTAGGTCTCTTGCCCTCAGCAATGGTGAGAGCTCAGCAGGGTCCCAAAACAGATGGGCTACTGCTATGAGTGCAAGGAGCAGCGAGAAACCATCCTGTTCCCCTCAGCATAGCTGAATTTCCTCTGTCAGTTCCTGTGCTGTTGCTTGGCCGCCTCCAAGAACAAAGCGGACTCAGTATCCTCATCCCATCCCACCAGTGCTGTATCGTAGCTGCCCCCACACACCTACCTGTGCCTGCTGCAGGGGCACCATGATCCTCTCCACGCACATCTCCAGATCTCTGATATAGTCCCGCTCTGTCTGGAGCAGTTCTTCAATAACCTTGGACCTCTTCTCCAGCATCCTTTGCTCTGGGCTCTCAGTGGCAGCCGAGGATGTCTCCAGGGATGGTGTCTGGGAGGACAGGAGTGTCATCTCTGCAAGACAGAGAAGCAAGATCAGCATCCTACAGTGTGGACGCAAGGACAGGAGACAAGGAGCACCTGAACTGTGCCACACACCACCTATAAGACTGCCGAACACGACTGTTAGAGAGCAGGACTGTCCATGCAAGGACCCTCCTGGTGAGGCCATGCCCGGCACTGTCTGAGGCAGCAGGGAGTCCCAGTTTGCTCCCACTGCCGTCCCTCGCAGCACCAGTAGCGCTGCAATTCCCCGGCATCAAGCAACACAAACCTGCTCCAGACTCGTCCCCCAGTGCCGGCCGGGTCCCGACCCCTCTCCTACGCCTG